AAAAAAAAAACAAAAAAAAATTTGAGAAGAAAATTTCATTCTAAAAACGACGAGCATGGCATTATTAGAGACTATTTATAGAAATGAGAGAGGTCAAAATACACAAACATACCTCCAAATTCAAATCGATCTCCCGTCATTATTATTTCCATAGCCACCATCCTATTCCAACAACATTAAATTCCTACATGTGCTATGATATAAAAATATTTCATTATCTACAAACCCAAAATATAACACCATGATACAAATACCCAATAACACCTAACTCACAATATAATATTATAACATAAAAAAGTCAAAAATATGAGGGCTGATAATATAGCCTAATATAGCTTGAAAACATAAAATTAAACTTTATGATTTTGACAATGATGCCAACGACAACACCTACAGTCACCTAAGCTAAACTTTCCCTAAAGTAAAATTATGAAAAACATACGATTGGGTACAATTTCTATCCTCCAAATGAGAAGGATGAGACGAAAAGAGAATTACTTCACCTGCTCATCAATAAGACGGAAGCCATCACTCATCCTCAAAGTCCATGAGGAAGTCTGTTATATTTTCTGAATCATCAATAGCCTCTTCTAGTGACATGGGACCTTGCTTCTTAGGTTTTTCCTGGACGACATAAGCAAAATGTATATCAACTCAAACTTTACATGATTTGGAAAACTCCAGAAGACTATTAACAACCAAATAGAACTCAAGAATACAAATTGGTTAGCTACAATGTAACAGCCACAATCATTTAGAGTTCTAATTTTGCATAGTCATAGATAATTGGAACAGCTGTTACAGCAATAATCATAAATTTATAACTGCTGAGTTTTTCGAATAGCTGTTTGGATCACTATTACTTCATGAAACAGATAAATTTGCAATGCACCAGAATTACATGGCCAATCCAATTAGGTATGACTAAATAGAGCACCAAGAGACTGCGACATAATCATGGTATCACGTGGTAAAACAAGGCACAACAAACTAACAAAAAACTAAATATTTTCCTAACACAAGAAACTGGAAACCAGGCACATCATGTAAAATAGGGGGATTTATATACACACCACTCAAATATTATTAAATAACATATATATAACACCCAAAACTTTAAATTTACTTGCATACCACCCAAACGCCTTTTAATACATCAAATCTATCACTTTGTTTTCACTGTTTGCATGGTGGTTTATTTCGGTGTTGGTCATGCTGCATTGCATTTGGATTTTTCTTTTTTTTTTCTTTTCTTATGTACATTTGGATTTTCTCCCTGTTCATCTCTGCTTCCATCTAAGCTAATAATTTTTATTTGGAAACCTGTTGCTCTCCCCCTGGATGGTCCGCTTGGGGTGCCTTCTCTGCCCGGCCCTACCATCAATGTGTGCAATCAGATAAAGTATTTTCGCTTCCATTATCCTCTTGCCAGATTTCTAATGACCTTTCTGATAGCCTAATTATTCCTACCGATTTTGTCTTGCCTCATATCTGCTTTATTGCTCACTACACTTCGTACTTTTAAAGTTGAATCTAACTTGAGAATGGAACGTTTGTGAAGAAACTGAGGATAAATGCCAGGTCTGCAAAATAGATGAGCAAAGCCCATGTGATCTCTAATCTAGAGCACATTCAACTGGATGCATGTTTGGAGTGGCAAGCTCTGCCACCTTTTTACCATCACAAAAGGTGCTACATATTACGAAATCAGAAACATCAAAGAATTGGTTTTATGCAGCAGCACTATCAAATGTCCATCTACCCTTGCTTAACTGAAACGTGTCCAAGAGATTGCTAGAATTTGTAATAGTCAACATTTTGCCTCTTGAGCTCAGGAAATTTAAGATAGATAGCATTGGGTGGAAAGGTTTGAACTTGTAACAAGGCATTAGCAGTTGTTGCGGCATTTCAATGTAATATGTGGAGGCTGATTGTGACAAAGAAAAATCGCGCTAAGAATCTACAATGGGCGGCCTAGCGCCAGTGTGGGCCACCCAGAGCCCGGCAACACTCAAGGAATAGAGTGCAAGAAACTCTAGCGCCTAGGATGGGTGCAGTTGCACTTGAATCAATCTTGTAACAAAGCACCCAGAAACGCGGCACCTAGGAGGGGTGCAACTGCACTCAAATCGCTTCCTGTGCACGAACGCCTGGAAACTAGGCTCTGGAGACAGGTGCTTCGACATTAGAATTTGTTTCGAGTTGTTAAGGCATTGCAACACGCTTCCTGGACCTAACCACCTGGAAACTCAACTCCTATACAGGTTCAACATAAGTGCGGCAAAACCAGTTTGCACTTAAAGTTACCAAGGATAATCGCTTGAGTTTGAAGCAGAACAAGCACTGATGAAAAAAAAACCCCTATGTTTCGGTTGTTCGAAGTTTGATGTATTTGATGATATTTACAAATCCGATATTGCAGATGCAGTGGGAGCGGTCAACAACTACACGGATGACTAGATAAACACCATCGGGAGACAGTGAAGTGAATTCTTAGATACTTGAGAGGAACAGTTAACAAGCACTTTATTTTGGAGATGCAGGAATTAATCTACAAAGATATAGAGATTCATACCTGGCAGGGGATATTGATGATAGTAGTACAATGAGGTATGACTTCACTTGGGGAATACAACAGTAAGTTGAGTTTCAAGGCTACAAAAAATTTTTGTACTTTCAAGTACAGAAGCTAAGTACACTGCTATCACTGACTCTAGCAAGAAAATAATTTGGCTGCAGAGCTTTATAACATAGCCGAGCAAGAAGCAAGAGATTGAAAAGCATCACAGTGATAGCATGAGTGTCATTCATCTAGCTAAAAACATCGTTTTTCATGTCATGATAAAACTCATTCAGTGTCACTTTATCCATTCACTACTAGAAGATGGTAAGTTATCTTTGGAGAAGATAGATAAAGCCCAAAATCCTGCAAACATGTTGACTAAGTTGGTTACAATTGAAAAATTAAAATTATGCATGGCTTCAGTTGGAGTTCAGGAAGGCTAAGACCGGCGATGAGCCGCACTACAGTACACGACTATGAAAATGGTGCAAGTCTGGAGGAGAGGTGATTGCAATCAATCACCTAGTAGGTGATTGTAATGTGTGAAGGTTGATTGTATCAGCAAAATTACACTCAAAATACTAAATTTCTAAATCGAGGAGATATTTATCCTCTATTTCCCAACATCTGCAAACCTCCCTTCACTGTCACTGTTGTTGTCGCCACCGCCGCCTTTTCTCATTGTCATAACCATTAAGACAGGCGGTGAGCCACACAACAGTACACGACTATGAAAATGGTGCAAGTCTGGAAGAGAGGAGATTGCAATCAATCGCCAAGTAGGTGATTGTGATGTGTGAAGGTTGATTGTATCAGAAAAAATATACTCAGAACACAACATAAATTTCTAAATCGAGGAGATATTTATCCTCCATTTCCCAACCTCTGCAACCCTCCCTTCACTGTCATTGTTGTTGTCGTTGTCACGCCACCTTTTCTCGTTGCCATAAGCATCAGAAAGCACTATTCCAACCGCCAACCACTACCTTCATCAGCTGCCATCCTTACCAGCCACCTCCTACATTTCCATCACTCATTCTAGCAGGTCGTCTTCGATGTCTAGCCACCACCCTCATTGTTGCAACCCTGACACATCCCTCCCTTTGAGATCCCGCAATCCAATGCCTCCTCGTCATTATTTTCGTCATTCCCGCTCATTGCAGCCGACTAAAAATAGCCTTTTCCAGCTATTTTTTGTTGTTATAGTTGTCCAACCAACTGTTCCCCTCATTCCAGTTTGATGTCATTGCCGCAAATCTTCCCCTTCACTGTCACAGCTTTCCTCCCTTAATGTCGCAACCCAGGACCACGCTTTCAAGCTTCTACTGCTGTCCAACCCCTCTTTGCTCTCGCCACCATTTCAGCCCTCCATCCTTGAATTCATCACTCCGGGCACCCCTCCCACATCACTCCCTGTTGTTTGTTGATCGTCTGACACCGGAGAAATAACCACTTTGTTGTTTTCTACTCGCAAACCATCTTTTCCACCCCCAAGACACCTTCCAAACCCCCACTGACTACCACCACCATCATTGGGATACACTCTAGTTGTGTTTGTTTATGTATATTATATTTTCCCCTTCAAGTGTGTTGGTTGTAACCACCTATTTATTTTTCTTGCTGCAGATTAAGTAAACTCCAATATCATTTGGTATTAGAGCCAAGTTAACTCTAGTCCTATATTATGGTTTCTAGTATCCATCCATGCCCAACCCCCCCTTTACAAAAAAACCCTCTCGGTTGACTTTTCAATCCGAACACCCAAAATTTTTCTTTTCCACCCCCACATCATCCCTATACACCCTCTTCCACCTACTCAAACCCAAACCCTAATCATACCACCAAGGAGACAATAGTTGAACGTCGAGCAGGAGTTTACCATGGAAGAGATACAGCAACTCCACCGTGTTACAATGACTCGATGAAATTGAGAAAAGAAAACCATATAGATGGGTCACCCGTAACCACAATGGTGACTTGCTAGATCAAAGGAATTGAATGAATCTCTTCCATCATACAAAGGTCAGTGATGAAGAATATTTTCCCTAAAGTCTTAACCTAAAATATCTGATTTGCCACTAGATGAGTTCATCGAGTGGCTCTGGACCTTGGAATGTATCATTGAGTGTCAGGTGTCCCACCAGACAAAATAGTAAAACTAACCTCCAACAAGTTCAGGAAGAGTGTATCTCAGTGGTGGGCAAACTTGAACATCTTTTTACAGTAAGAAGGGAAGATTAAAATTACTACATGATCCAAAGATAAAATGAGAGATGCGGCACCAGTTTCTACCAACTCACTACGGACCAAATATTCTGAACCAACTTCAAAAGTGAAGAGATCACATCACCGGATGACCATCGCATCTTACAAACAGAATTTAACCCCAAGAGCTTATAGTCAGAGTAAGCCCAGAGGAAAATCCAAGCCAACCCATCACCTGAGGATAAATTGATTCAGAGTGAGAATAGGTGCAGCGAACTAATAATCTTAAATTTGTCCCAGTTAGAAAATATTTCAAGTGCCCCAGATTTGAGCATATCGAATCAGATTGCACAACTAAGGAGACAATCTCTTTTACAAAATAGGGAGTCGTTGAAGAAATAGATAATGACACAATAAACACTGATGAGAGAGAGTACACAAAAAAGAAGTATCAGATACTAGCCAATGAGGAAGACATGCCATCGATTCCAGCTAAACCCAAGAAAAAGATTTCAGTTGAGTTAACAGTAACTATTCTAGAATGTAGCAAGTTTGATGTAATGGGCATTCATGCATAGTATGAGATTGTGGTACCTCGACCTACATTTTTATAGTCATTCAGAAGAGCATGGAAAACATTGACATTGGATATCCAAGAGGGCAATGAGTTTGAGAAGTCGATATTAAACAAAGGCAACATCAAATAAGAAGATTTTAAACTTTTCAAATATATAACCTACTTCCTGAGTTGCCCCTACTGAGGAAAGTCCAACTTGTCAAAGATGATAAGATTTTGAGTTACTTCTGGAAAATAATAGAGAATTATTTGGGTATTAAAATCAGTTCAATAGTGTAC